GGGGGGGGCGGAGACCAATCAGATGTGGGGTTGGTGAGCTGTTAGAGGACTCCTTCCTCTCTTCCTTGGGCTGAAAGTGCTAAACTCAGCTCTGCAGGGGGGTCAAAGAGGCCAGTAGTCAGTGGTGGACTGGGGGCCCCCACACTTTTAGGAAGGGTTTCCCATCTACTGGAAATTTCTACAATATGGGTGCAAAAGAAAGAAACGAGTACTTTCCTCTAGCAGAGAAATTGAAACTCAAAGGGCAGATGAAGACTCATCAGCTAAAGCCAGTAACCATGGCAGTAGCTGGGAGTGGGTGAGGCACATAACACGACACGGGACAGAACCCTGGCTGTATTGTGTTCAGGCAGTGACAAACTCATCTGTGTAGTCATCATTCTGTCTCTTACATGCCAGCTTTCACACCAACAAGTGGGGGCCTGGGCAGTAAAGTGAATGTAGAGCCCCTGCCATCACGGGGTTGACAGTCTCGGGGAGGCGGTTACAGAACTGTGTAGGAAGGGTGCCCAGCCCGGCCTTGGAGTGGGGGCCCTGAAGTATGAGTAGAAAGGAGCTGGCCAAATGGAAAGCAGGGAGGGGTCAGGAGACCCTGCAGAGGGAAGGGCATGCGCAGTGGGGCCTCGCGGGGAGCAGGGAGCTTGTGAGGCTTGCAGGCCACCTCCCACCACCGTGCCCAGGAAGATACAGTTCGAGGCCCATCTCAGCCGAGAAGCCCGGACTCTTGGCAGTTGGCCAACATCTGTGTGACCTGTGGTAGGCCGAGCTGAGCGCAGTTGCAGGGGCTATAAAACAGTGGTCCCCGTTCTTAAAATGGGAAGAGTGTGTCTGTGCGTCCGTCTGCCCCGTGACCAGAAGAGCCTGAGTCAGACCCTGAGTTGTTACAGTATCCATGGCACATCGGTCACACTAAACTCCAAGAATACTGACAAGTTTTGTCTTTGTCCTCCTCCTCCACTCACCTCCTCCCTGTGCCCTGGAGGAGCCGCCAGGGCTTCCTTCACTTGTTCCCAGGGCCCGATGTCGGAGGCCATGGAGCAGCCAGCCACGAGTCCTGGAAAGCCGAGGCCGGGAGAGGGTGGTGACAGCGGCACAGAGACGGGCACCTGCCAGGAGCTCCTGCACCGGCTGCGGGAGCTGGAGGTGGGGCACCGGGCGGCATGGGGGCGGCGGTGCTGGCCAGGACCCTGGGGAGCTTGGGTGGGCTTTGTGGATGTGGTGGCCCTTCCTCTTAGCCTGCCTCGCCAGGCTGGAGCAGAGCTCCTCTGAGAAGCCCTTTCTTTGCTCTGAACTCTCCAACCTGGGGCCAGCTTGGAAGAGGAGGCATGCACAGGGGTGGGCCTATCCCAACCCCCACACGTCTCTCGTCTTTACCCCTTTCTTCGCCACTTTTATGCCTGTGCTGATCTCGGAAAGGCATGGTCACAGAGCCCACAGGAAGAAGGATTTAGATGACCTAGGGCTCAGGAGTTGAACGACAAGGACATGGATCCCTAAACTAGGCTTTTTGCCAATTCTTTTTTCTTTTTTTTTTTTAATGTTTATTTATTTTTGAGAGAGCGTGAGCAGAGGAGGGGCAGAGAGAGAGGGGAACAGAAGATGGGAAATGGGCTTCTTGCTGACAGCAGCGAGCCTGATGCAGGACTCCAGCTCACAAACTGAAGTCAGACGCTCAACTGACTGAGCCACCCCAGGCACCCCTCTTTGCCATATTCTTAAGAACCTGCCCTCCTCTCTCCAGCCTCCTCTGCCCTCTCCCCAGGGAAATAAGGATTACTTTTTTTTTTTTAAGTTCATTTATTTTCAGAGAGAGAAAGAGCACGCAAGCAGGAGAGAGGCAGAGAGAGAGGGAGAGGGAGAATTCCAAGCAGGCTCCATGCTATAAGTGCAAAACCCAACGTGGGGCTCAAACTCCGTGAACCATGAGATCATGACCTGAGCCAAAATCAAGAGTCAGACGCTCAACCAACTGAGCCACCCAGGCGCCCCAAATATTACTTTTGACACCTCCCAGCTTAAGTCCTCCTGGCCACTGTATCTCCCTGGCCCCTCCAACCTCACTGACTGAGGTTGGGGTTTACAGAAACCCAGCCATCTTAGCTCTGCCTTCCTGATGCCTATGGTCTGTCTCTGTAGGCCTCCCCATGGTAGAATCCAGTCAGAGCCAAGAACTGGGGCAGGGGTGTAGCTAGTAGTCTCCATGTCTCTCTTTCCTCCAAAAGGAATTTTCCCTGGCAGACAAATGACTCCATAGCCCTTTTTTGCCCTCTTCCTCCCGTAGGCAGAGAACTCGGCGCTTGCCCAGGCCAATGAAAACCAGCGGGAGACCTATGAGCGCTGTCTAGATGAGGTCTGTCGTGTCTCCATGGGGACTGATGCTGGGGGATATCGGGAGGCGGGGGGAGCACAGGTTGTCAATGCTCCAGGCAGAGGTTCATGGGCTGATGGCTCTGCATTGGGCTTTCTGTCCCCAGGTTGCCAACCACGTGGTACAGGCGCTGCTAAACCAAAAGGTAAGCAGCCATGGGAGACATTCTTACCCCTAAGCCCAGATGCCCTGGGGAGAGACCCTGGGTCCAGCAGGGGAAGTCCTTCCTGGGGACCCCTGAACCTACTCAGATAGGGGCTAGAGGAGGGAGCTTGGTGGAAATGGCCTATTGACCCTCCAACAAAGCCCCCTCTCCCCACCTCAGACAGGTCCATACTGTTCTACCTGGAGGCAGAGGAGGGCTAGGTAAGGCCAGGTCTCTGAGCTATGGTAACTTTGATTTGGGCTTGACTCTTTCCCTTATCCTGGCCCGAGCTGTTTTCTCCAGATTGTGATGGCCCTGACAGCAGTGTTAATATTGTGAGCACAAGGTGTCACCTAAATATTTACTCAAGTTCTGTGGGGACTTCTTGACTTATGAGCCACTCTGACCCCCAGGTCTTCCTCTGCCTTATATGGGCCTTTCTTTGATGTGTGGTTTCTAAGAGGCAGGGGGTTGGCTCCAGGGATGGGAAGGATGCCAAAGGGAATAGGATTTACCTCCCACCAAGGGTGGTAAACTTTAGGGAGTTTACCATCCCCAGACAATGTGACAGCTATACACATAGGCAGGCAGTCTCAGATCTCCATAGAAGGGGGCCGTGGGGGCAGAGCATGCCCAGCAGGAGTGCTGCCACTCTGATGAAGGAGACTGAGCTCATACCACTCGCCCTCTCCCTGCCACCCTCCCCTGGCCTCCTTGGGCGGTGGCAGGACCTGCGGGAGGAGTGCATCAAGCTGAAGAAGAGGGTGTTTGACCTGGAACGGCAGAACCAGATGCTCAGCGCCCTGTTCCAGCAGAAGCTCCAGCTGACAACAGGCTCCCTCCCCCAGGTGGGCACAAGCAATTCTCCTTCCCTCCTCCTACCTCAGCTCCTGCCTCTCCCAGCCCTACCATCATCACCTTCTTTTCTCCCAGCACCTGAAGAAGCAGGCCACAGCCATTCCCCTCCATTCTGGGGGCTGTGGCCGTCTGGGAAAGGCCCATCTGGCCTGATAGATCTGAGCCTTAGATGGGGACATGGGGAGACTCCCTGAGTCCCTTCATGCTTGGCTTTCCCCAGCCCCCCGGGTGCTCCTCGCCCAATTGGATGGCATCCTTTCTTATTGACAGACAAGGTTCTTGCTTGTTCCTGCCCTATGTGGGGAGATGGGTGGAGGCTGAAAATGCAATGATTTCAAGCTCCCAGGGGGCCCCTTTGGCCACTGCTTTGCTGCTTCTTGGCCAGGGGCAGGGGTGGGGCTGGGTGTAAGGCGCCCCGTGCTTAGTGTCACAGAGAGGTCAGGAAAGGCACTTCAGCCGGGTCATTCTGTGCGCATGCCTAGTTGTGAGTGCTCGCCCGCTGACACACAGGCATGTCCTCAACTGCTAGTCCCTGATTCTAGCCCTGGCACCTGGCTTACCTGGGAAAAGCAGAAGGCTACTAGGGGTGAATCCTGAACTCAGTTAAGATGTCCCTCGGGGTCGGTCTGTCAGTAGCCCCAAGGCCGGGGTGAGACGTGGGACTGGGAAGATCAGGAGCAGCTCCAGGGACCCGAGGTGAGCATCAGGTGTGAGGTTAGCCAGCACACCTCTAGCCTACCCCCAACCTTGACAAGGAGAGAAGCACCTTCTGTGTGTATCTGTCTGATGCACACCGGGCAGCCCTTGCCCCCCCACACCCTGAGCACGATGCCCCACGGCTCCTTGAGAAGCCTGGTCCCTGGCAGAGGCTTTTCATCACCATGGTCTTTTAGGAGCCTCTGTCCCTGCTCTAGAGTCCACCCTGGGATCCTAGAACCCAAACCACACTGGCCAAGCTCACCCTGTCCACACCTTTCTCGGTGACCAGTGATAACAGAGGTGTAGGTCATCCTTAAGTCACTGATTCCTTAAATGAAATCTGGGACCTCTTGGGGTTTGGGGCAATAGATCTATCTCCCCCAGCGGTAACATGACATAATGGAAAGAGCATGAACCTTGGCCTCAGAAACACTTGGATTGGGTCCCTGACTTAGCTAATTCTTAGTTATGTGACCCTGGGCAAATTACTTAACTTTCCGAACCCCAGTTTTTGTCTTATAAATGAGGTTCGAGATACCCACACTGCACGTCGTCGTAAAGATGAAATAAGATAATATATAGCGTTTGGCCCATAGTGGTAGTCAATAATCAGCAGCTCTTTTTCATTATCAGTGTCACTCTAAAGTTGTGCTTTGCTAGCATGAAAGCTCCACTGAGCAGATGTTAATTAAGCTCTTGCTGTGAGCAGCTCCTTTGCCGACACATGTATGGAACTGGACAGGGGTGTGGCCTGTGCAGAGCACATAAACCCTGAAGGCTGGGACTGCTTACAGACAGCCTTAGTACAGAGCAGAGTGTGACAGTACTGTCCAGGAGCCCAGAGGGGAGAGAGGCCAGCAGAGAAGGGACCTCAAGGAGGTAACATGGGACCCAGGCCTTGCTGGACAGGAGATTTAAAAAAAAGCACAGTTGGGGTTGAGAGAAGGGATACCCTGTGGAAGGAAGCACAGGGAAGCCTAGGCAGCAGCAGCTGTTCAGCTGGGCCGGAACAAAGGCTGTACGAAGGAGCAGCGAGTGAGAACCAGAGGTGGCATCGGGGAAGGTCCTGCAGGCTGGGCCCAGGATGCCGGCAGAGGAGTCCAGACTTGTCTTCTTAGGCAGTGGGCAGGAATCGGAGGCTTTGAGCAAAGATGCTTTGGATGAAAAAGAAGAAGATACTGTAGGCTACCTCGTGTGTCAGAGATTTGTAAAGGTACCAAACCGGGTCAGGGAGACAAATGCTAAGCAGCATCCAGGCCACAGCAGTAAGGATCTGGGCCGGAGCCGGCCGGCCAGAGGGGAAGCAGAGACGCCACAGAAGCGGGAGTTTTAAGCTGCCTCATGTCTAGTGGAGATGCCTAGGGGATGGAAATGACATTTTCAGGGACTGAGAGAGAAGTAACCTGTAATTAAGTAGTACCTTTGTCTTCCTCAGAGACCAGTCGGTGGGGACAGAGATGATAACTCCTGCCATCTCTTTTCTAGGACCCAGTGACAAATGCTTTTCCATTAGTCTTAGCCATCCCTGTGATGCTAGGGTCACAGGCAGTCAGAACAGGAAAGGGGCTTCGAGGCTGGCCCTCTCTGTAATCAGGGAGGAGGTCCTGCAGAAAAGCAGAGTGGTCCTGGGGCCGCCATGGGCACAGAGGTTAGGCCTGCCATTGCCATTGCCACTGCCTGTGGTTTCTCCACAGCCCGAGTAGTCCCGTCTCCCTGCCACCGGGCCTCACACTTCTTCATTCTATCTGTGCATCGTCTCCCAAGGCTCCTCTGACCAAGTGATAGGGACAGTGGTGAAAGCCACACTGTAGGTCAAGAGACATCCCTGAAGGAGCAGACTTGGAAGAATGTTCTCCTACCCTGGATGGGAAGTCCTAACTTCGTGAGGGGGCAAGGACCTGGGACAGACAAGGCCCTATGCTAACTCTGCCTCTCCCTGCAGATCCCACTTACCCCACTCCAGCCTCCATCAGAGCCACCAGCCTCTCCCTCCTTGAGCTCTGTCGAGGGACCGACCACCTCGCTGCCTCTGGGGCACTGTACTGGACAGAGAGAGGTAGGAGATCCGGGCACAGTGGTCGAGGGCTTCGCTGGCTGCAGACTCTTCAGTGGGTACTCCATTGCTGTTTCCTAAGGAGTTCCAGGGGAAGGGCTGCTTCCTGGGGCACAGATATGAGCCCTCGGCAGTCAGCCTTATACTAAGAACAAAATCCCACTGCCAGTGGCTAGCCTTGCAAACAAAGTTAGTTAGGTGTTAGTAAGACTTGTAGTTAACATTTCCCGAGCTTTTACCCTATGCCAGGCACTGTGCTGAACACCTGGATGTCATTTATCTTTTTTTTTTAATAATTTTTGGCATACGTTTATAATTTTTTTAATGTTTATTCATTTTTGAGATAGAAACAGAACGTGAGTGGGGGAGGGGCAGAGAGCGAGGGAGACACAGAATCTGAAGCAGGTTCCGGGCTCTGAGCTGTCAGCACAGAACCTGACGCAGGGCTCAAACTTGTGAACCACAAGGTCATAACCTGAGCTGAAGTCAGATGCTGAACCAGCTGAGTCACCTAGGTGCCCCTTGGCATACATTTATAATTGTATACATACTTATTTATTCATGTCTAGAACTATTATGGACTTATTCTTTTGCATCCCTGGTCTCATTTATTTTATAAGGTTAATCATAGGGACCATCCCCTTTCATAGGTGATGCAGTGAAGCTTAGAAGTTAAGAAACTTGCTGAAGTTCATATGACTAGTGAAGCAGCAGACCTGGGACCTGAACCTACACAGTCTGGCTCCAGAGCCTTATCTAGTTAACCATGACACCAGGTGGACAAGGTCCAAGAAGGAGCCGGGCAGAAACAGGGAAGGGCTTGCAGTAGAGTTATCCCAGTTGCCTTCTCCACAGGGATCAGGTCAGCTGTCTGACCTGAGAAGGCCTGGGCTTGCCTGCAGTTACTGACTGAGGACTCGGCCCCAACACATCCCCTTCTATAGTTTCTGTGTTCTTTCTGGAGCCTGCAAAACAGGCCTCCCTCCCCTGGGGCAAACCTAGATAATCAGGGTTGTAGGGGTGTCAGCCCTGCTGACCCCAACAGCGGTGGGAAGTGGTAGAGGAGGGGGGTGCTGGAATCACCAGGAAGGGAGGTGGGGTACCCACCCAACCCCAAGGACACCAGGAAGAAGAGTTGGGGTAACCGGGGCTCAGTGACTCTGGAGGAAGCCGAGCTGTCCCATCCGAGAAGCTAGTAATTCCTTTTGCGACTCAGACAAAACCAGGCCGGCTCTGTCCCTGACATAGTCAGTTACTCCCAGCTCAGGTCCTGGGCCTGCACATGGCCTCCTCATCATGCCATTTCTCCCCGAAGGTGTGTTGGGAGCAGCAGCTGCGGCCAGGAGGCCCAGGACCCCCAGCCGCCCCGCCCCCAGCGCTGGATGCCCTGTCCCCTTTCCTTCGAAAGAAAGCCCAGATCCTGGAGGTGCTGAGAGCCCTGGAAGAGACGGACCCCTTGCTTCTTTGCTCACCTGCCACTCCCTGGCGGCCTCCAAGCGAGGGTCCTGGCTCCCCAGAGCCCATCAACGGCGAGCTGTGTGGCCCACCCCAGCCTGAACCCTCATCCTGGGCCCCCTACTTGCTACTAGGCCCTGGTAGCCTGGGAGGCCTGCTACACTGGGAGCGCCTCTTGGGGGGCCCAGGGGAGGAAGAGGGTGCTGGGCGGCCCTGGGGTCCTAGTAGAGTCTCCTCCCAGGCCCAAGGCACTGGCTCTGGGCCTCCCTGTGCCCCAGGCAGCAGTTCCTCTTCCTCCTCTGATGAGGCAGGTGACCCCAACGAGGCACCCAGCCCTGACACCCTGCTTGGAGCCCTAGCCCGCAAACAGCTGAACTTGGGCCAGCTCCTTGAGGACACAGAGTCTTACCTACAGGCCTTCTTGGCCGGGGCTGCAGGCCCACTCAGTGGGGACCAACCAGGTCCTGGGCAGCCATCTTCCCCAGACCAGGGGCCCCCACAGCTGTCCAAGTCCAAAGGCCTCCCCAAGTCAGCTTGGGGTGGGGGTACCCCAGAGGCCCACAGGCCAGGCTTTGGTGCTACCTCAGAGGGCCAGGGGCCCCTCCCCTTCCTCAGCATGTTCATGGGTGCAGGTGATGCCCCCCTGGGCTCTCGGCCTGGCCACCCCTACTCCTCATCTCAGGTGAAAAGCAAGCTCCAAATTGGCCCCCCTTCTCCTGGGGAAGCCCAGGGACCCCTTCTGCCCTCTCCAGCCAGAGGTCTCAAGTTTCTAAAGTTGCCTCCAGCCTCGGAGAAGGTGCCCAGCCCCGGAGGCCCCCAGCTCAGCCCCCAGCTTCCCCGGAACTCCCGAATTCCCTGTCGAAACAGCGGCTCAGACGGCAGCCCCTCCCCATTGCTGGCCCGCAGGGGTCTGGGTGGAGGAGAGCTGTCCCCGGAGGGGGCGCAGGCCCTGCCTACCAGTCCTTCACCCTGCTCCGCGGCCCTGGACTCTGCACAGTTGAGACCTCCCCAGCCAGCCTTGTCCACCACGCTGTCCCCGGGACCTGTGGTATCTCCCTGCTATGAGAACATCCTAGACCTTTCCCGGAGCACCTTTAGGGGACCTTCCCCAGAGCCACCTCCTTCCCCACTGCAGGTACCCACCTACCCACAATTAACTCTAGAGGTGCCACGGGCCCCTGAGGTCCTCAGAAGTCCTGGAGCTCCTCCCAGCCCTTGCCTCCCAGAATCCTGCTCCTATGGGAGTGCCCAGGAGAAGAGTTTGGACAAAGCAGGCTCAGAGTCTCCCCATCCTGGCCGCAGGACCCCAGGCAGCTCATCCAAGAAGCCCAGCCAGGGGGCAGGGCGGCGACCTGGGGATCCTGGCTACACACCTCTGCGGGACAGACTGGCAGCCCTAGGGAAACTGAAGACTGGCCCTGAGGGGCCAGAGAAAAACGGGGTGCCAGCCAGGCCTGGCACTGAGAAGTCCCGGGGAGCAGGGAGGTCAGGGGAGAGTGCTGGAGACATGGCACCCCCCGCCCCCAGGCCTCCCGAGGGGCCAGACGCCAAGGGGGCCTTGCGGGGGGCACTGGCCTTAGGCACAAACAGCCTGAAGCAGCAAGAACCTGGGCTCCTGGGGGACCCCGGGGCCCGAGTCTACTCCTCCCACTCCATGGGGGCCCGGGTGGACCTGGAGCCTGTCTCACCAAGGAGCTGCCTCACCAAAGTGGAGTTGGCCAAGAGCCGGCTGGCAGGGGCCCTGTGCCCCCAGGTACCCCGTGCCCCTGCCAAAGTGCCAGCCTCAGCCCCCAGCCTTGGCAAGCCCAATAAGAGCCCCCATGGCAGCCCTACAAAGCTGCCTTCCAAGTCACCCACCAAGGTGGTACCCCGACCTCTGGCCCCACCAACTACCAAGGAGCCCCCCAAGCCTGACAAGAGCAAGGGCCCACCTTGGGCAGAGTGTGGCAGCACTACCGCCCAGCCTACGTCCCCCGCGCCCAGCCCTGCTGACCCAAGCCAAGGCCCTGAGGGGCGGGCCCCACACTCCGCCATCGAGGAGAAGGTAATGAAGGGCATCGAGGAGAATGTGCTGCGGCTCCAGGGCCAGGAGCGGGCGCCAGGCGCTGAGGCCAAGCACCGCAACACCAGCAGCATCGCCAGCTGGTTTGGCCTTAAGAAGAGCAAGCTGCCAGCGCTGAACCGCCGCACAGAGACCGCCAAGAGCAAGGAGGGGGCCAGTGGGGGCTCCCCACTCCGGAAGGAAGTCAAGATGGAAGCCCGGAAGCTGGAGGCGGAGAGTCTCAACATCTCCAAGTTGATGGCTAAGGCGGAAGACCTACGCCGGGCACTGGAGGAGGAGAAGGCCTACCTGAGCAGCAGGGCCCGGCCCCGGGCCGGAGGGCCAGCGCCAGGACCAAGTACGGGGCTGGGGCAGGTGCAGGGCCAGCTGGCTGGCATGTACCAGGGCGCAGACACCTTCATGCAGCAGCTGCTCAACAGGTGAGGGCCTGGGACCAGTCAGCAGGTGCTCAGTGGCTGGGGGCGCTTTTCCATGGGCACACCTGGGGTTGCGACTGCTTTTCCTGAGAGCAAAAAGGGTTGGAGGTCAAGTAAAATGCCGCCGAAGTGTCTGGGAGTTCATGGTCTGGCCCAGAGGAAAGATGGGGTCTTGAATCAGAAGCCTGGGGTTTGTGCCCCCACTCCCCTTCTCTCTGGCTGTCTGATGTGGGACATGCTGGGCCCGTTTAAGAGGGGTTCACAGTCCACATTTCCTTAGATTTGTCTCCAATGCTGCCTGCGTGTGGTAGTTAAAGGGGCTGCTAGTTCCTAACCGTGGGCTGATAAAGGTCTTACTCTGGGATTTTCTATCCTATAGAACAAGGAGTGTCCCCTTCCCATCTTGCCCATTGGCACCTGCCACAGAGTCAGCAGCAGGAGCTGTGGTTCAGAGAAGGGGCCACCCCATCTTGGGATTGCTCCATCTGGGCCAGATGAGGCAGAATGTCCATAGGGGTTGGGTGCCAGGTGGGGTGCAGTTTGGACAGCAAGTGTGCTCAAGTTCAGCTGGGGCTGGCAAGATGTGTCCTGTGTGGACCAGGAAGTGACCAGTCTGCCATCTATTAGCAGTGTCCAGAGGTCTCTAGGCTCGGCCTTGTGTAACTTTGGGGAAGTCGTCTCGTGTCCCCTGCCCCTGCTGTTTCTCTGAGGTTTTCCCCAGGGTCTCCGCCTGTGCCCAGCATCAGGAGGAGTTGATGGAGGCAACCACCAGGGATATGTCCCCAATCCCAGGGGCAGGGGTCAGTGGGTATTCCACTAGGCCCGGCACCATTGGAGGGAGTGAGGTCAGCATGTCTGGGTAGACCCAAGCTTCCCTTTATCTCCGTCTGCACTGCTGCCTGTAGGGTGGATGGCAAGGAGCTGCCCCCCAAGAACTGGCGGGAGCCCAAACCAGAGTATGGCGATTTTCAGCCAGTGTCCTCTGACCCCAAGAACCCCTGGCCAGCCTGTGGGCCCCGAAATGGCCTGGTGGGACCTCTTCAGGGCTGCGGAAAACCTCCTGGAAAGGTAGGTTCTTGGGAGAGGGGCTAGGTATTGGGCCTAGAGGGTTCCCCGTCCCTGGGGCCTGGAAGCTGCTGGATGTACTCACGGTCGCTGCATGCTGGTGGACTGCAGACACTAGGACCCACAGTTCAGGGGTCCCAACGGCAGAACTTGGGGAGGGCTGTGGGTGAGGGTGGGAGGACTGGGTTCTGAGGTCTCCTGTACCGCACACAGCCGAGCAGTGAGCCGGGAAGGCGGGAAGAGATGCCCTCCGAGGACAGCCTGGCTGAGCCAGTGCCCACCTCACACTTCACAGGTCAGCAGGGTCAGGGGCCAAGGATGGGACCTCTTCCTCGCCCCCTGCCCACTTTACTCCTGTCCTGTCACTGTAGCAGGTGCCAGGCCCGGAGTGCCGTCGTGGTGCCAAGCACCAGATAGGCACCGGGGCTGCGCAGAACTAAACGCCTCCCTGCCCTTGGGGTACCTGGCCTGCCGTCCACACGTGTTTCTCCAAGCACAGGGGAGGTAGGGGGAGGGCTGGCAGGGATGACAGCCTGTTGGGCCAGGAGGGGCCCTGCCCAGGTGGGGAACCTGGGCTGGGGCAGGACGCCAGAAGAAGGCAGAGGGGCTGAGCCCACAGCCTCACGTCCTTGACTTACCCTCCCCTCCCCAGCCTGTGGCTCCTTGACTCGAACCCTGGACAGTGGCATTGGGACCTTTCCACCCCCAGACCATGGCAGCAATGGGACCCCCAGCAAGAATCTTCCCAAGACAAAGCCACCACGGCTGGATCCCCCACCCGGAGTCCCCCCAGCTCGGCCCCCGCCCCTTACCAAAGTCCCCCGCCGCGCCCACACGCTGGAGCGTGAGGTGCCGGGCATAGAGGAACTGCTGGTGAGCGGGCGGCACCCTAGCATGCCAGCCTTCCCCGCTCTGCTCACTGCTGCTCCGGGCCACCGGGGCCATCAGGCCTGTCCTGACGGTGAGTGTCTGGGTAGAAGGGTGGGCCATCCCTGGAGCTTTACGCGCCACCATCCACCTTCCCTTTGTTGCCATGCAGATCCGTGTGAGGACCCAGGCCCTCCCCCTCCTGTCCAGCTGGCTAAGAACTGGACCTTCCCCAATGCGAGGGCAGCCGGCAGCTCCACTGACCCTTTCCTGTGCCCATCCCGACAATTGGAGGGGCTGCCCAGGACCCCCATGGTAAGCATGGCCAAAAGGAAAAGGGGGACGGGCCTGGAGGGCAGGAGGGATGATGTGGGGAGACCAGTCCCTGCAATGAGGTACAGCCCTGTCTTGGAAGCGGATGAAGGGTCAGCCGCATTGGATGCCCCTCTGGGCAGCCCACCCACCTGCCCCTTCTCACACCCTTCTTGGAGAAAGGGTTTATTTCCCTCCCCAGAACCTTGGCAGACCACGCTCAGTGGTGCCTCTAGCCCGCTTCCTCTGAAATGTGCCCCACCACGGTGAGCCCCACCTGCAGCACCCCATCAGTGGGCAGAGCCCAGCACCCCTTGGACTGGACCAGGAGGCGGAGGGACTTCCTCCTGAGCTTCCCTTCCTTTCCCAGGCCCTGCCCATGGACCGGAAGCAGAACCTGGAGCCCAGCCGTCCAGCCCCTGCACCCCAGGGCCCGACGTTTGGAGGTAGCCGCACGCCCAGCACATCAGACATGGGCGAGGAAGGGAGAGTGGCCAGTGGGGGCCCCCCAGGTCTGGAGACCTCAGAGTCTCTCAGTGACTCCCTCTACGACTCGCTCTCCTCCTGTGGGAGTCAGGGCTGAGGGGCTGCACCGCACTACGGTCCCTCTCTGGAGTTGGAGACCACCGACTGGACCAGCTCTCCTGGCGCCCCATCCCTCGGGGCCAGTGGGGCCCCTCCCTGCAGGGACCAAGGAGGCAGATGGAAAAGAAGATGAAGGGGGTCCCTGACACACCCCACTGCCCACTGCTGCTGTGGAGGGGATGACCGCTCTCAGCTCAGGGAGAGACCCCACCCTTGGTCCCTTCTCTCACCTGGAGTAAGGCTCTTCTCTGAGGGACCGGGGGTTCAAGGTGGCTGTGTCCCAGCCCCCAGCTCCCCCTTCAGGCTGAGCCATCTTGTGGTGCTGGGCTTCCTGCCCGCCAGCTGTGCCGTCTCTGCCCAACCTGGCTGCTCCCTGCCCTGGAGCCCCGCGGGCCCAGCCCAGAGTCCCCGTGCTGGTGGAGTTTGGGGGCGAAGGGTCAAGTTGCCTTCTCTCTCTGTCTGCCCTGGTCCTCCCTGCTGTCTGGATGGTGCTGCCCTCCCCCGCCCCATGTCTCTGGGGTCCGTCTGTCTGTCTTTTTGTTGTTTTTTTATATTAAAGCACCTGGCCCGGTCCCCATCCCCCATCCCCGCACTGCGGTTAATTTATCTGTCGTTAAGAACTCGGCTGCTCTGCTTCCAGCCTCTGCTTCTGCCCTATTCCTAATAAAATGTGGAGGCCCCTCCCTGCCCTGGACTCTGCTTTTTCTATGGGAGGACTCGGGGATGGACAGGTGGGTGGAGGCTGCATGGGCAGCAGAATGAGAGACCCCAGGGACGTAGACTTTCCCAAAGGTGCTCCTGTGAGGCAGCCCACCCCCCACCCCCCACAGGCCT